TGAGGCTTTGGACAGAGCTTCGGATCCAGAGAAGCTTTGGACACTTCGGGGTCTGAAGCAGCACATCTGGGTTGAAGCACTGGTCTCGTTAGGCTTCCCGAAGCGGTTTGGAGCTCCCAAAGAGCTTTGGAGCCGCCTCAGAGATCCGGCCATAGGATATAATGGGGAAATGATAAAATATCTATAGGTTTGTTGTTTTTTGTCCAGTTTGGATGAAATTTTCAGGGATGGCAGACTCTACAGAGAGGATGAAGCCTGCCAGGTTTCAAGAAGATTGGTGCAGGGGTTTAGGGGGAAGAGGTTAGAGAAGGGCTATTTTCTCACAAGGTCAGCTTGATCCATTCCAGTTACTGCTTAGTTATCTTGTTTAAAGGAACTGTGAAAAGTAGTAGAGGGCTGGGGGGAAGAGGATCTAAAATACAGACTGATGTAGAAAGCTGCCAAGGAGCTGTTCAAAGGACTTTGAATTCAAACTGTTTTATTTCAGTTTCTAAGGCTTTTTTATTGTGAACATTATAATTCTCTCTCTCAATGCTTTAACACAGATACATCCCCACTTAATCTGCTGAAGGGCATGGGACCATCTAATATTGAGACAGAACTAAGAGGCTTAGCTCCAGAAGGTGGTGGATCTGTAGAGGTGATGCAAAGCTTTTTGAGATTGATTGGGATGATGCTGAACACAAAATGTGATTTTGAACTGGCCCAGGCATACCTTGCCCTATTTTTAAAGGTAATTTTTTATGTTTTGATTTAAATTATTCCTGTATGTTTTGTTTTGTTTTTTAGCTAAAACAATGCATTGTCCTGTAAAATGGATTCTGTACAATGAAGTATAGTGTCTGTTCTAAAGAATTTTTTTATGAAAAATGTCAAAAAAAGATTCTGCTTCACCAAAAACCTCCCATATCCAGTCCTCATGGTTCTCCTGTTCCTGCTGCATCAGGTTGTTCAAAGCAAAGATCAGACTTATAAGTCACCTACGTACTCGCGTGACCTAGACTCCACCCCACTTTGTTCTCGTCCCCTTCCCTTTTTTCTGCTTTTCTTTCTTTCTCCCTTTCTCTTTTCTCCTTCCCTTTTTCTTTCCCACTTCTTTTCCCTCTTCTTCCCTCCCCTCCCCCCGCTGGATGTGCTCATCTTCGCCCACAAAGGATGAAAGTATGTACTTCACCAAAAAAAGTTTATTAGATTCATTGATTAACCCAATAGCCCTTAACTGGCAACAGTATTAAAAACTTGCAGGCAAATAGGGATAGTCGTGAAGAAAATACTAACAGTGATTTTCTTTTTTTTAAATAAGAGTAACTGTTCATTGCTTATGATCATTTCTATTCATTTTTCTAATCTGCTGATTTAATGTTCTTGGGCGCTTACAGATGTGGGAAAAAAACAGTGCTTTGCTTTCAGCTTGGCATGCTCCCACCGCAACCACAGTGTGTGCCCAGAAGAGGAATCACATTAGTTTGACCCTGTTCACGCAGTGTTTGTACAGTGCATGTGCTTCAGCGGGGCTTTTATCTATTAATAGATCTTTTATCTATTAATAGGTAAAAGAGCCCCAAAAAGCCCCGCTGAAGCACACGAGTTATACAAACACTGGGGGGCAAGGTCAAACTAACACAATTCCTCTTCTGGTAAAGCACTGTTTGTTTGGGAATGTTCCATGTCTGTCAGCAACTATTGTGACTTTAAGTGCTTTCTTTACTTAGCTACAATTACAATATTGATAATGAAGTCAAAAAAAGCTTCTGTTCTTTGACCCTGAAAACAGTTGAACACAGTTTTCAACTTGTGTATTGATGTGCTGTTCTTAGCTTCTTTAGTTAGTCTGTAAGGTGGAAATCTACCCTGCCTTCTATTCGATTTCAGATTAACATGGCCAACTACATATCTCTACTCTTCAACACCTAGAGTTACAAAAACGTATCTTGAATGGTGATGCTAAACTAAGCTGGCTGATCTGTGGTGGGGGGCAGGAGTGAGAGGCCAGGGGGCTGAAAATATCCTGGTGCCAGGGGGATGGGTAGGAAATGCTCAGTCCTGGAGCTGGGAACAGTAGCTGGGCTTTCCCAGCCCTGGGGCTGCCCAGGTGACTGTATTGAAGTTCCATTTATTAGTCTAACCTAGATTGATTAAGTTGGAGTGTACATCACTCCAAGTCTATCTTAGACTTGGTTCAGCCACTTCTAGACTGGTCTGTGTGCCTGGAACTTGTGTATTGTTACAGGTTTAGATTCAATTTCTGATCACTGAGACTGGGTCTAAATATAAGGTCCACACTGGGGTGAACCAAGTTAGATTGGATGGCCATTTTTAATCTGATATAACTTCCCCCTAATACCTCCGTGTTCCGAGGGGTATCTTAAGTCTATTGACAGGAATCTCAAATCTAAAAAAGTTGAGAACCACTGATCTAGGAAATATGGAAACTAGGAAATTGTTATACTTAATTATAAAGGATACTCTGAGAGAGAAAGCTCTTGGATTTGCTTTCTGAGGGTACAATGTGTAGATCATTTGTCGAGACTTTTTTACAGTACTGTAGAAAAAACAGTTACAGTGGACATGTCTACACATTCATAAATGCACATTTGCTAATGTGCATTAAATTTGGTACCTCCCTTGTGAGATGCTAGAAGAAGATGCATTGGCCTATTTTAATCCGCATTAATGAAAGTGCATGGTTTTTTTGTGATGCCCTAATGCTCATTAAAATAGGTTAATGTGCATTAGCACACGTGTAGATGCACCCACTTACAGTTACAACTGCGTATTTAATTTTTTAGGCATTTAGACCTGTATTAGAATGTCCACTTAATCCAGACAGTTTATTACTCTTTCAGTAATTAAAATTTAAGGGGAAGGACTCAATAATTTTCAGAGAAATGTAAATATATATCCATTTTTTTAAATTCTTCTGTACTCTAGTAACAAAGTATCACAAAACAACTACTTTTAGGTTAGAAGTTCAGGCTCAGTGTGACCAGTAAATTAAATGATATGAAGAGAGAGAAATGGCTAATCTTGTGTTTTACTAGCAGCACAGTATGCAACCCAGTATGGGAACAGGGTTTTTATTTCAGAGTTCTTTCCCTTGCTTCACGACTAACGTGTTCTATTAATTAATCGAGAGAGTTTTTCCTTACCCAGGGGGTGAGTTTGCTGACACCATTTCTACTGGGCTAGTGTCATTTAATTAAGCAACATTGACCTCACATGATGTATTCAGTCTGCTCCTGCTTGATGTGATGCTGGGCATTGAGTGAAGAGAGCTGGGAATAAATGTATGAAGGGTGTGCTTTTACTTGTGGATTTTCATAATGTTGGCACTGTACAAGAGCCAAGAGTGTCTGTCTTTTATTTGTGTGGGGGGGGGGGGGGGGGGGGGGGGA